CTCCTTTACCATTACGGGAAAACCTCTTTGATTGATTTCACTGGGATAGTAGTATCACTTCTAAGAAATTTCCTGCTTCTGTACTGATACAGGAAAACAGCCTCATGTTATTTCTCTCCTACTGCGAAACACGTTTGCGGGGGATATTAATTTGGGCTCTGTGCAAATGTGTCTGTCCGAGGGCTTTTCCAGGCTGTAACTTCAAATCCATTCAACTCAACCATTCAAAACTTACTGTTAAATTAAGTTGGTGCCCTAGTCGTGCCTTTTGCTATTGATTACATTTCATTTTTTATATTTTTTTCTGTTTCCATGGAAACAGTCAAAAAACACAAAATTAGTGTTTACTTTCCTTTCCAGACTACAACCTCAAAACTATTCCACTCAACATTACAAAACATTCTGTATATATTAGGTTAGTGCCTTAGTTTAAAAAAAAACTTTCTGTTACCATGGAAACAGATAACCCTCATCACAAATTTCAGTTTTTCTGGTCCAGTGCTCTAAAACCTTTGAACATAATTGCTCAAAACTTTTTACACATATTAAGCTAGTAATATCTTTTGCTGTTGGGAAGTTCTCTATTTAAATACTTTTTCTGTTACCATGGAAACAGATAAGCTAATTTACAAAGTTAATTTTTTTTCAGACCAGTTCTCTTAAACTGTTCAAGGTAATTACCTGGTACTCAAAACTTTGTACAGTCATCAAGCTAGTATTCTAGTAGAAGTTCTCCATTTCAACACTTTGTATGGAACAATTAAAAATAACAAATAGAAATTAAACTTTTTGTAATATTAACATATTCATATGATTATGTACCTTTCTCTGAAACAGCGGGGTACGGGGGATAATGTTATGCTTTGTGTTATCATATTGTGATATCACACATGGCCATCTAGATGGCTGATCGCCCAGTGTGACCATTCTGTATCCATTCTGTGATCAAGACTGTATTAAGTTCAGATGAACACCTATTAGTGCTGTATAACATCATTCTGAGACATTTCTACTAGAATCTAGTCTGTAAGCTTTAGCATCACAATAAGAAAAAGCTTGTCAAACTACAGATGATTTTTTAGTAAAGGTCACACCTAAAGAAAACCCTTCTTGTATAAAAAATGTTCATATATCAACTACCTAAATGAAAGGTTTCAATATGTACAAAACAGAACTCTGTACAGACAACACACAGGACACAGGTGCCATTCATACAAAATCTCTTGACGATGTGGTCTTGAGGGTTTCCATATGTACTACCTAAACTAAACTCAGTACAGACAACACACAGGTACAAAATCTCTTGATGTGTAATGCTTATGAACATTGTCATTCGTGTCAAATTTAATATTATACATGTTGTAATATTTGACTTTTTATCACAGTTTTAGAGACATTTGTAGTTGTATTCCTCCGTCAATATACCCATTGCATATGATGTGTTAACGGTTTGATAGTACATATCTCCTACACATAACCTGGAGCTCAGTGTAATTTATCCATATGACTTTGTTGTTATACCTGAGCTGACATATACTTCTGGCCAACAATGATTAGCTTTAGCATTATGTATACTATGTGCCTCTGAAATAATTGAAATAAAGAAGTTTCACTGTACTGTCATTGAAGTTGATGTTACCTGTAGTTCATATTGGAAAAAAACATGTAACAAGATTAATATGTCAATGTTAAGAAAAAATTAGAACCAGATAGCCTGCAGGGTCAAAGTTCAATACATCCCTCTTAAGGTGAAGATTTGAAAAGATCTCTTTTTATCCAGTACCAGATAGTTTGCAGGGTCAAAGTTCAATACATCCCTCTTAAGGTGAAGATTTGAAAAGATCTCTTTTTATCCAGTACCAGATAGTTTGCAGGGTCAAAGTTCAATACATCCCTCTTAAGGTGCAGATTTGAAAAGATCTCTTTTTATCCAGTACCAGATAGTCTGCAGGGTCAAAGTTCAATACATCCCTCTGTAAGTGCAAATGTCAATACATCTCTTTACATCCAGAACATGATAGAAAGCAGGGTCAAAGTTCAATACATCCCTCTAAGAGACAAATTTTAATAGATCCCTCTAAAGCCCATACTACCAGATAGTGAGTAGGGGAAATTTTTATACATTTCTCAAATGCCCATAAAACAACATATTCTGTAGGACAAATTTTAAAAGATTCCTCTAAACCCCATGGAACCCAATAGCCTACAGGAGACATTTTTTGATGCTTTAAAATGTATAGCCCCTGTGTAATACACATACATTTATAATATCAGTGATACAGTGAAATAGATCAGTAGCAGTGAGTAGTCTGGCTGTGTCACTAATACTATTATCTATTTAATCATATTTCTTCAAGTTTAGGATATTTGGTATTCATGCTATGAAAGCATTATCAGTCATGGACCTGTGTCAGTTTCTCCAGCTTTAGACTATTTCTATCGATCTTGTTTTACCATGATATGGGCAATGATTTATATTTACTTGTGGAACAAACCACATATCACTGCCGCAAACTAGGTTGGTAACCCTTGATGATTAGTGTCATCTTTGAAAGATTTATGAAACAAACTAAACTATACGTTGCTTTCTTGGATAGATCTATATTTTACATGGTGTTAGGTGTTGTCAATGAAGCAAAAGACACTTACCTCTCTGGAGCACCTGGTCTTATTCTTCTTGTACTACTTCAGGAGTTTCCATATAATCTTTCATCAGTTTTGAGTTTGAATTAAAATTCTGTTGATATGTTTTCTTAGTTATTTTTATTGTGTTATTAATATTCAAACATTGCATATACATCGTACCAACTCCAGTAATATGTTAATATACCTCATAATCTATTCAGAAAGTGCTTTGTTAATGGTACCGTAGTACATTTAATACAGAAATATGATCTCCACCACAGACATACTGGTATAAAACAGAATAAATGAATATAGGACCGTTTTCCATGGGGACCTAATGACCTACTTGGAGAAACTAGTACTTGTGTATTCTGTTCATTGATATACCTCTGTATTACTGACAAGTTTAAGTTCTCATTCTACCCTATGGTTAGTACCTGGTGATTATAAACATGAAATTTCCTGCATATAAGTTTTCTTACAATGCTGTATTATTGCTCTTTTTTAAATAATAGAATCAAACACAGTAAATTTTAGTGCTTGAATAAATCATAAATAGTACCAATGATAGTGTTGGAGTGGTTAATAATAGTCACAAGCTTTGTGATTACCAGGATAGGATGACCATCTTCACTTTCCTTGTTATTAAGGCATTACTTCAGTTATTGAAAAAAGTTACGACATATCATGGTTAAAGTTGACTTTTGTTGAGTGCAAATGTCAAAGTAAAACCTGGGAACCCTTGGATATTGACAGTAGGTCTGTTACAACATAAAAAGAAGCTAAGAGCTACAGGAACACCCAGTTGGGGATGGGAAAAGAGTATATCAACATGGCATCTCATTGCTTCCAAATATGATAACCTTAGCTTTAATGTCGGGTATTTCAGAAAGAAATAAATGGTCGGATGTCGATGTGATATCTGTGATGTCTGAAGTAGAACGTGGTCTTGACATGGACGTGTGCACCATCAATCATCATCAGTGAAAAACTGATTTATACCATTTCATGTGAAATTGGAGTTTCATGACTACGGCAAAAATTTTTGATAAATTGATTAGGAGCTTGTTATTTTGACAGTAGAATGTGCACAGCAGCCCCATCTCTTGGATCAATTTACTCTCAATGTTGAAATGCTTGTCTGTCAATGGCTTTTGTCTGAAACATAAACTTTATTGCTGCACATTTTACCAAACAATATGATATTAATTCACCATCATACCATAGTTTTGCTATATTGAATTTCTCGTTAATGTTATATGCAATTTTTAATTTCCTTAGATACTACGAAAAATTATTACCCCGAAGGAAATATCTGCAGTATTCTTACACAACAGGCATCCTGTGGGGTATCTATTGGAAGTTAGAATGAAAAAGTCTTTGTCTTTAGACCTGTTATACAAAGCTTGGAAATTACAAAAATATATAACTGATATTGATATTCAATTATTATTTACAAAAATTCATTCTGTAATAAAATTTTTCCCTGTTCAGAAGAATTATTAACAAAAGCTATTTCCACGGTTCTGTTATAAGCCCACCAAACCCCCTTATTAAGAGCCAGGTGTATTTTTTTTTCGGCCTCTGACTTATTATTTTGTAAAAAGTCAACCTATTAACTTTGAAACAGAAGTAATATTTTCGGCCTGTGGACTTGCTTTAGGATAATATGGTACAATTATAAACCTGTGTAATCATCTTCAATGAAAAAAATATATTGTAGAATAAAAAATCCAGGAGATTCTACAAAGGCTTCTGGTGAATTAGAAGATGGATGGGATCTGTATTATACTGGTTCATTTGTGACTAAGTGAAACCCAGTAGGCTGACAGTGACAATTAGTGTATTGATCTAGGATTTGATGCATAGAATACATATTTCTTAATTGTGGGTTGTTGGAGAAGACAGCACCAGATTGGCAGATTTTGTGGACAGATGGTCTCTTGCCTGCTGGGAGTTGAGGGATATTTTTGTGATGAGGATTTCAGGCTGACAGTCATGTGTACTCAGAGGACATATTTGTTTATTAGAGTGTTTCATTATTGTGTACATTTGTTTGAGAACAGTTATGATAGAGAGGACCAATATAACATTGGCAGTGCAGATATATGGATGTGATGATAGAGATTCATAGGCAGACCCTCTTATCCTCACCTCATCGAAAACATGTCCTCTGGGACATTTCAGTGTGTTATAAAAACATAATCATTGGTTGATCTTTGACTCTGTTTCTGCGTGCATTACTGCCTAAGTGATCTGTTGGGTGTTGTATAGGTGTCTGGATAGAAACCAATGGCTGGCCATACTTGGCTACATTGCAAAGTGATATTTATGCATTATAAATGTTTGGTAAAATTTCCTGTTACTCTTTACAGCATTGACCCTGCTCCTGGGATCTTTTCTATTGATTTTATTCATCATGTTTGAGTGTGTAAGAAGTGTATTCCATCGGCGACCTTATGTGCCATCTTCAGGATCTGTGTCCCCCTTCCATTGGAGACCCCGCTTACCATCCTCTAGATCAGTGGCCCCAATCACACCCTCACTGGCTGTACAGAACTCCGACAAAGGCTGGCTCTGGAACATTATATGGGGCACAAATGTTTCTGCCCAGTACTGTGTGGTCCAATGGGGCTGGACAAGTCCCCATGGTGTCGGCAATACTATGTCTTTTACAGTACAGGTATGTCAATTTATTTTTTCTGTTCTAGATTCTTGAAGTTTTGAAAATATTTAACATTTTAATCTTTAATAATTAAATACTTCCCTGATATTGAATAATTAGTTTTCTCTATTCTTTATCTAAATCTATATCTGATATCGCCGTGATTATGTGTGTTAAGTTTTTATTTATTTTTTTTTTTTTAAATTATGTTGATTTGCTATAACTCTTTAATTTTGCAATTCAATGAGAGTTAAAAATTTAGATTTATATCCAGTGATAGTAAATATTTCAGATCTATTTTCACTGTATACCTACAGTTACATGTGGTGTCTAGTTACAGCAAAATAAATCCGAAAACTTGGGAAAAATATATTTGCATTGTTTAGACCAAGAACTTGTTGGCAAAATATGAACATTTATTACAAATATACGGCATAATCGTTTTAATTTTTAATCTTTTTCATAAGCATATTATTGATATGCTTCACGTCTCACAAATATTTGTAAGACCCTTTATATCAGGTATCTGAAATAGCTGATCTGCCAGAAAAAAAAATATATATTTGGAATCAGATTAGTTTCTTTCACATGTCAATAATGATGTAAAATCTGATGATTGATAAAGGCTAGTTTATGATACTTTGTCATTCTTACTTGTATGAACTTGTCACTGAACTTAATCTTGTGAGTACATTATTTTCCAGTTAATAGGCCTCAACATTTTACCTCCTGTGACTTAAATATGTGGATAAACAAAACCACAAACAAAATTAGGCCAATGAAAAAAAATCTGTGTCTTCTACATCATATAAACTATCAACACTGATTTTAAATCTCTTTGAGGATTGTTCTATCAATATTATGTTATTAGTATAAAATAGACAATCCTTCAGTTCTTGTTAAGTTAGGTAGGGAGTATAAACCCTGAAACCTGGAAACTATAAAAATTGTGAATCCTTGGTGTCTCTGGTAACCCTTGTTTGTACAGCTGGAATCAGTCCTGTGCCTTTATGTATCATAATCATGATCTTCATCAACAGCCAATTAAACTTAATGGTTACAAGGTCAATATTTATCTTATGGCATGGTACAGTAATAGTGGTTCTATCTCATTTACATGATTGGACTGTATTATAGTTGTAATTATTAAAGTTCATTACTGATTTTTCTTCACAGTGTGACAGTTTTCCATGTTAGAATAAGTCTGTCCCTATAGCTATGTAACCTTGAACTGTCCAGAATAACATTGACCTTGGTGGTATTACATTAACCTTGGCAGATTAACCTTGTCAGTGTAGCATTAACCTTGGCAGTATAACATTGTCCCCTGACAGTATAATATTGACCTTGGCACTATAGCATTGACTTTGTCAGTGTAACATTTTCCCTGGTAAAATATATTGACCTTGTCAGTATAACATTGACCTTGCCAGTATAACATTTTCACTGGTAATATAATATTGACCTTGGCAATATAACATTGACCTTGCCAGTATAACATTTTCACTGGTAATATAATATTGACCTTGTCAGTATAGCATTGACCTTGCCAGGATAACATTTTCCCTGGTAATATGATATTACCTTGTCGGTATAGCATTGACCCTGACAGTATAATATTGACCTTGGCAGTATAGCATTGACCTTGCCAGTATAACATTTTCACTGGTGATATAATATTGACCTTGTCAGTATAGCATTAACCTTGCCAGTATAACATTTTCCCTGGTAATATAATATTGACCTTGTCAGTATAGCATTGACCTTGCCAGGATAACATTTTCCCTGGTAATATAATATTGACCTTGTCAGTATAGCATTAACCTGACAATATAATATTGACTTTGTCAGTATAGCATTAACCTTGCCAGGATAACATTTTCCCTGGTAATATAATATTGACCTTGTCAGTATAGCATTGACCTTGCCAGGATAACATTTTCCCTGACAATATAATATTGACCTTGTCAGTATAGCATTAACCTGACAATATAATATTGACCTTGTCAGTATAGCATTAACCTTGCCAGGATAACATTTTCCCTGACAATATAATATTGACCTTGTCAGTATAGCATTAACCTGACAATATAATATTGACTTTGTCAGTATAGCATTAACCTTGCCAGGATAACATTTTCCCTGGTAATATAATATTGACCTTGTCAGTATAGCATTGACCTTGCCAGGATAACATTTTCCCTGACAATATAATATTGACCTTGTCAGTATAGCATTAACCTGACAATATAATATTGACCTTGTCAGTATAGCATTAACCTTGCCAGGATAACATTTTCCCTGGTAATAAGTTTTGTAGAGGAAATTTTTCATGCTTCACTAGATCTTTAAGGATGGAGTTATAACATTTCATCTTTCATTTACAGAACTAATACTTATGTACAGTTATAAGTACTCATTTTTATTGTAATTCTTTATTGACGATGTAATTCCATTACTTGTCTTAATTCTCACAAAATCCATGCCTTGAGAAGACTGGAGTGATCTTTTCTGTGTTGTGTTATTGATGTATAGAAATAGGAATATAAGGGAATGGAGATCAGAGGCATTCATCAACAGAGATAGAAAGAGATGGCCTTCTCCCTCTTCTGTATGCCATGGATAGATTGATGATACTACCACCCTGCAGGCTAATCTGTCTGTATCACTCCATCAGTAATCTAACTGCCTATTGTAGTGGAGGCTGGCAAAGCTTCCCTTCATTTGGCCAGGCTCTGTTTGATGTATGGGTGTTTGTAAGGAAATTATGTCACAAAGCATGTGTCAAAAATAATCCATAACCATTCTGTGGTGTTCAATTGCTCACAAAGGATGGATCTCAGTGTAGGATATATCAGGCCATTTGAGTTGGTTGGTGTTGATTGTGATACATCAGGAAAATGGCCTACTAAATTTTAATAGGGAATGTATATGCAGTTTTACATAAATTCTATTGTAAATTGATATTAACTCCAGCTAATAGTTTTAATGATTCTGCCATTCGTGAGATTAAAGCCTATGATTTAGATGTTGGTCTTTGTTAAAATGTTTCAAATGGATATAATTGTCGTGATTTAAGGCAATTTAGGACTGTTTTAGTCAGTTCTAACCAGAGGTCATACTGTAAAAATAGTGGATTCCAGTAAAGATGAGCAAAAGTTGCTATGAAATTTATACATTTCCAGAGTTAACTGTTCTAACATTTGTCAATCTGAGTAGAAAAGAAGGAGGCAGTCTGATTACTTGGAATAGCCCAGGCAGAGGTAGTCTGGTGTTCTAGTAGTAGCCTAGACAGAGGTAGTCTGGTGTTCAAGGAATAGCCTAGACAGAGGTAGTCTGGTGTTCAAGGAATAGCCTAGACAGAGGTAGTCTGGTGTTCAAGGAATAGCCCAGGCAGAGGTAGTCTGGTGTTCTAGTAGTAGCCTAGACAGAGATAGTCTGGTGTTCAAGGAATAGCCTAGACAGAGGTAGTCTGGTGTTCAAGGAATAGCCCAGGCAGAGGTAGTCTGGTGTTCTAGTAGTAGCCTAGACAGAGGTAGTCTGGTGTTCTTGTAGTAGCCTAGACAGAGGTAGTCTGGTGTTCAAGGAATAGCCTAGACAGAGGTAGTCTGGTGTTCAAGGAATAGCCTAGACAGAGGTAGTCAGGTTTTCTAGTAGTAGCCAAGAGGGAGGTAGTCTGGTGTTCTAGTAGTAACTTAGAGGGAGGTAGTCTGGTTACTAGGAGTAGTGTAGAGGGAAGTAGTCTGGTTACTATGAGTAGTGTAGAGGGAAGTAGTCTGGTTACTAGGAGTAGTGTAGAGGGAAGTAGTCTGGTTACTAGGAGTAGTGTAGAGGGAGGTAGTCTGGTTACTAGGAGTAGTGTAGAGGGAGGTAGTCTGGTTACTAGGAGTAGGGTAGAGGGAGGTAGTCTGGTTACTAGGAGTAGTGTAGAGGGAAGTAGTCTGGTTACTAGGAGCAGTGTAGAGGAAGGCAGATTGGTTACTAGGAGTAGTGTAGAGGGAGGTAGTCTGGTTACTAGGAGTAGTGTAGAGGGAGGTAGTCTGGTTACTATGAGTAGTGTAGTGGGAAGTAGTCTGGTTACTAGGAGTAGTGTAGTGGGAAGTAGTCTGGTTACTAGGAGTAGTATAGAGGGAAGCAGACTGGTTACTAGGAGTAGTGTAGAGGGAGGTAGTATGGTTACTAGGAGTAGTGTAGAGGAAGGCAGATTGGTTACTAGGAGTAGTGTAGAGGCGGGTATTATTGCTACTAGGACAGACATGTTGTTGTATGGAGTCTAAAGGAAAGAAAATCAGCATTTGAAAATCAGTAGACTGAAATTCAAAGTAAACTCCTTAGTATAATTAACAGTTACTTACATTACAGATATTATATGTTTTTCAGCCACTTATTAGATAGGTATAATGACTATGTGGCATAGCATAATACAACCATTAGGATATTGCTGTAAAGAGTGGATAAGTTCATCATGTAATCTCTGGCATTATTATTTTCACCAATCACTAACTCATATAACCAACTATGTTGGAACTATGTTCTGACTGTCCTGTAAACAGACTGTATTTGGAGCCAAGGAAAACAGCTCTTCTCATGGATTGTGTTGATCCATTTATATTGAAGTATCTATTGGCTCCATGCATGCAGACTTTGACAAGGTTGGCATTTACAAAACTCATTTCCAGGCTCGATTGCAGAGTCTGCATTATAAATTGGATGTATTTTGGTTGGCAGTGGTATATATCAACTTTGTAATAGGCTTCAACACAGTTGGCAATAATGTTGAGTGTGGTCAATACACCATTCCGTGATGAATCAGTCTTGTCGCAATGAACACATTTCAGATTTGAGCTATTTCTGAAAAAGATAACTTACTGTTAAAACAGCAAATATTGAGTGCTTTGGTGTATAAATCAGTAACCTTGGTTGGAGGAAAATTAAGGTGGAGTCCTCAGCTTTAACATTTGTGGTGTTAAGATACAGGATTGACAGGTAGACTTGCTATGAATTCATCTTTTTTGATTTTATATACTTATATTCTATCATGATCTACAGTACCACTGTCAATAGTTGATGTTGTTTGAGTAATGGAGTCCTCACTTTACCAGGATGTTTCAGTAACTTAAAAGTGCAAGCATACATGTTACATACAACTCTCAGAACAAGTTTATATAAAGATGCTTTTACACTGCCTCTTAAATACAGGCTTGTTTCACAGACTAATCCTGCTTTAGTTTAATGATTCAGTGACATTCTGAATTCTTGAATTTAAATATGAATACATATTTAATATACATTTATCTACTGACAAATTATCATACAGGATGTAGATTTGAATCGAATATCTGAGAAAAAAGAAAAAAAAAAGTTGATTGTCTTTGAAAATGATATTACTTCTATCTTCTATAGTCCTTTTTTTGTTTTGTTTCAGTTGTTCCGAAAAAATGGCAAACCATATGTGATTGTGAACGAGGACACAAGTAACATTATTGTGGAAATTTTACACCGTGGAATTAAAGTGGCTTGTACTAAACAGCAAGACAAGGAAGGAGGCAAATCCAACACAGTGCGTGTGTCCTTTACTGTCCACCGATCAGGCCCATACAAAATCTCTGTCATGGTTTCAGGGAAGCACATTAAAGATAGTCCCTTTACGAGGGAGTTTGATGCCGGTGAGTAAATTTACAGAATATACAGCACTTCTATCACCATCAAATTGATGGCTTAAATTCTTATTTTAAAGATTTTATACTGAATTATTAGTTAAACATATTTGATCATATAATTTTCTCCTTAGATTTCATTTTTCATGTCTTAAGACTTAAACTCATCAAAAACAGACATATATCTGTTTACATGTGATTTCAGATCTGTATTAAATGCTTTAGAAAACCTTACTTTTAATGAGCCACAGTCGACTATGTTGTAACCCTTTTGGTCCTGTTGTGATGATATCTACTGAGGAAATAGAAACAGGATCCATGTAACTCTGAATAGATTATTTCTATTACTTTTGCTTTACAACACTAGACAGTGCAAGTGCACTGACTTGTATGTAGTCCTGAACTCTAGTTTTCTTTTTATCACTTACAAATTATTAGCAGAATTACACTAGCATTTTTAATGTTAAATATGGTAGACAAACAATGAAATATCTGTCTATCCTAAAGAAATTCCTCAGCATAATTAATGACAGTAAAATATTCAAATATAGTCAGATTGCAGTAGCATACCTTAACACTGATTTTCTAAAAATACTTGTGAAAATAAAATTGTCCATGTCCTACATCTTATGGTGCTCTATCATAGCAGATTCTTAACCTGTAGGATCATTGTGCATGTTTGTCAGATTGATGAGAAGTTTTTAATAAATAATGCCTTGGTAGGTTGATAAAGGTTAAGGTCAATAATAGGCTTAAAGGTCAGACCAGTATACATTTGTGTGATAGGTCTCATTTGGTGGGTTTATTGCCCTGTGAATAGCCAGGATCTTTTTATGAGGTCTCCTTGTAGAAGCTGGTGGCTACCTCAGTGAACAACATACAGAAGGCCTGTTATATGTCATCCAGAGCAATTTAGGTTAAATGTATTGCCTTAGGACACAACCATGTCATCACAGACTGGTCTATTTCTAAACTTCCTGAGAAACGCAATCTGCCGATGGTGGGGAGGGTGGAACCATGCACCTCTTATCTTTACATGAAGTTTCCTAGGCAAATGCTCTAAATGACTGAACTATCATGGCCCCTTTGTATGATAGGAAATTTATAAAGCACTAGTTTATAAGGATCCATGATGTATATAACAATGTTCAACATTATAAATCATTATCAATAACAGATGAGATTTGATAGTCTATATTTAATACCATGATAATGAGGATGCCAAGACATTAAATCTATATATTCTCCTCATATCAGACATAAATGGGCTTCACTTTTACCTATTTCTATTTATGAGGAGGACAATGTAGGAAAAATGTGTTTTTCTTCAAACATTTCTTTTTTAAAGTAGAATTTTTTTTCTCAGCTTGAATGAGGACCTTGGTACAGTGGAAATTTGTTACGGTTTTATATTTTATTTGTTTTTTGTTTTTTTTAATGGCATTCTTGTACATCTTTAAGTAGTCTGTTTGTGTGCTGCATTGTGTCTCTAAATCAGTAATGGCGGGACTACTTACAGGTTGTATTACTTTTATTATTAATCATATTGCACTATCTGTTGAAACATACTAAATTTGGAACATATTACAATTACTTATTACATTCTTTATCTGATGTTGTTGTAGGTCCTATTGATGCTAGTAGGACAGGGTTTACCAACTATTGTTCTACGATAGTATGTACTCCGGGCACTCCTTACCCCCTCACCATAGAAACACAGGACTCCTTCGGGAACCCAGCTGTCTACAAAGCAGACCAAAACCATTACTTCAAAATCAAAGTTATAGAAGTAAGTCCTCCTGAAATGTTTTATTTTTGGATATTTTCTTTCTCTGTAGCGTGAAATAACAGTCTCACTTGCAGACAAATAATGTTTTACTGAGGGAAAATCTATATTTCAGTTCCTACACAATAAACTAATGTGAGGGAGCAGACTCAAAATTTATAAGATATGTCTTGGTGTATTGCTAACTTCTCAAGTTATGAAATTTATATGGTAACTCCTTTATTTAGCTGTATCTTAGATATTTGTCAATGTTTTATAGGAGAACAGAAATTTCTGTAGAAATGCAAGGAAGAGGTGAATTAAGCTTGGATGGTTGAAGGACGGATATGAATCAGAAGTGAAGTCAGACTCATATAAAATTCATGACTTTCTGTATTGATGTTTATGTCAAATGATATCATAGTAATGTGATTGATACACCTAAAAAAGTTATCTGGCTGCCAAAAAATCAATGAAGAAGATTACTTTGTGGAAAGGAAGGAGTCCAGACTTGTGAGAGTTTACTAATTATTTCAGATTGTATAGAAACGTACAGCTTTCTGTATAACCATTCTATATGAGAAAGGGGAACATGAGGTAGAGTCAGGTCTCACTGTGGTAAAGTTAGGTCTCACCTCAGTAGTGTCAGGTGTCGCCTCAGTAATGTCAGGTCTCACCTCAGTAGTGTCAGGTCTCACCTCAGTAGTGTCAGGCGTCGCCTCAGTAATGTCAGGTCTAACTTACGTAGAGTCAGGTCTCACTGTGGTAGTAGTCAAATCTCACTGAAGTAGAGTCAGGTCTCATTGTGGAGAGTCAGGTCTCATTGAAGTGAAGTCAGGTCTCATTGTAGTGTAGTCAGATCTCACTTTGGTAGAGTCAGGTGTCTCTTTATGTTAAAGTCAGGTCTTGTTCGATAAGACTCAGGTCTCACTGTGTTAGTAGTAAAATTTCTCTGTAGTAGAGGCAAGTCTTACCTTAGTAATGCCAGGTCTTACACTGGCAGTCAGTTCTCACTGTGTTAGTAGTCAGATCTCACTGTAGTAGAGTCAGGTCTTACTGTAGTAGAGTCAGGTCTTACTGTAGTAGAGGCAAGTCTCACCTTAGTAATGCCAGGTCTTACACTGGCAGTCAGTTCTCACTGTGTTAGTAGTCAGATCTTACTGTAGTAGAGTCAGGTCTTACTGTAGTAGAGGCAAGTCTCACCTTAGTAATGCCAGGTCTTACACTGGCAGTCAGTTCTCACTTTGGTAGTAGTCAGATCTCACTGTAGTAGAGTCAGGTCTTACTGTAGTAGAGGCAAGTCTTACCTCAGTAATGCCAGGTCTTACACTGGCAGTCAGTTCTCACATTGGTAGTAGTCAGGTCTCACTGTAGTAGAGTCAGGTCTTACTGTAGTAGAGGCAAGTCTCACCTTAGTAATGCCAGGTCTTACACTGGCAGTCAGTTCTCACTTTGGTAGTAGTCAAATATCGCTGTAGTAGAGTCAGTCCTCCCTGTGGAGAGTCAGGTCTCATTGTAGAAGGCTCAGGTCTCACTGTAGTGCAGTCCGGTCTCACCTTAGTAATGTCAGGTCTCACTGTGGCAGCCAGGTCTCACTTTGGTAGTAGTCAGGTCTCACTGTAGTAGAGTCAGGTCTCACTGTAGTAGAGTCAGGCCTCTCTGTGGTAAAATCTGGTCTTACTGTATAGGAGTCAGTCCTCACTGTTGAAGAGTGAAGTCTCACTGTGATAAAATCTGCTAGGCCTCCCTGTAAAAGAGTCCGGTCTCACAGGTAAAGTCTGCTAGGCCTCCCTGTAAAAGAGTCAGGTCTCACAGGTAAAGTCTGCTAGGCCTTCCTGTAAAAGAGTCCGGTCTGTGGTAAAATCTGGTATTATTGTAGAAGACTCAGGTCTCACTGTGGTAGAGTCTGGTTTTACTGTACAGGAGTCAGTCCTCACTGTTGAAGAGTGAAGTCTCACTGTGATAAAGTCTGCTAGGCCTCCCTGTAAAAGAGTCCGGTCTCACGGGTAAAGTCAAATTGAAGTGTGGTAGAGTCAGTTAGGTCTCACTGTAGTAGAGTTAGGTCCAACTATAGAAAGGCAGATAGGCCTCACTGCAGTAGAGTTAGGTCTAACTGTGGAAAGGCAGATAGGCCTCACTGCAGTAGAGTTAGGTCTAACTGTGGAAAGGCAGATAGGCCTCACTGCAGTAGAGTTAGGTCTAACTGTGGAAAGGCAGATAGGCCTCACTGCAGTAGAGTTAGGTCTAACTGTGGAAAGGCAGATAGGCCTCACTATGGTAGAGTCAGGTCTCACTGTGTAAGCTAGTCCATACTGCAGTAGAATCAGATCTCACTGTGTTAAAGTCAGCTAGGTCACTGCAGTAGAGTAAAGTTTCACTGTGGTGAAAGGCAGGTCTCTCTGCAGTAGAGTTAGGTCTCTCTGTGGAAAGGCATTAGGCCTCACTATATTAGTATTGAGGTCTAACTGTGGAAAGGCATGTAAGCCTCCCTTTATTAGAGTCAGGTCTCACTGTGTAAGCTAGTCCATACTGCAGTAGAGTCAGATCTCACTGTGTTAAAGTCAGCTAGGTCTTGCTGTTGTAGTAAAGTTTCACTGTGGTGGAGTCAGGTCTCTCTGTGATGCAGTCAGGTCTCTCTGTGGTGGTGACATTAGATTGGTATATTTAGAATTTGAAACTAAAAGCCGTGGACTTTAAGAGAATGTAAGCACAGAGATTCCCTTTATTAATGTTTGAAAAAGTAGACAAACTGTCAGAGATTGTTTGGCATGAAATTGCTTGAGACAGAAGACAGACACAGAGATTAGGAGAATTGTTAGAGAATTAGACAGATGCCCAGAGATTTACATGAAATTGTTTATTGTACAGAGATTGAAGGCATGGAATTGTTTTAACACAGAGATTGTGTGAATTATTAGAGAAAGTAGACAAACTTCAGAGATTGTTTGGCATGAAATTTCTTGAGAAAGAAGACAGATGACAGAGATTGTAAGGCATGGAATTGTTAGAGAATTAAGACAGACCACAGAGATTGGCGTTGAATTATTAGAAAAAGTAGACAAACTTCAGAGATTGTTTGGCATGAAATTTCTTGAGAAAGAAGACAGATGACAGAGATTGTTAGGCATGGAATTGTTAGAGAATTTAGACAGATGACAGAGATTGTTAGGCATGAAATTGCTTGAGAAAGAAGACAGATGACAGAGATTGTTTGGCATGAAATTGCTTGAGAAAGAAGACAGATGACAGAGATTGTTAGGCATTGGATTGTTAGAGAATTTAGACAGATTATGGAGACTGTTTGGTGATAAAGGTCATATGCATTAACACTTTTCAGACAGAAAGCCAAACCAAGTATATGCCTGTCACTCAACTGGTCAACATGCCGGACAAGAAACAGCTTAACATGCGGATCACTATGTGTAGAGAAGGCTGCTACCAAGCCTCCGTTTCCTACGGTGACATGAAGCTGAGAAACGGAGATTTTAATATTCTAGTCATTAACAGTATGTAACGCAAACAGAATATTTAATGATAAAATTCCTTTCAAATAAATCTGGAGAAATTAAATTAAATCAATTTTCATTTTACTCTATAATGCTGTCAAATGGAAAGTGGACCATGGTTAAGTGGAAATGTGTTCAAGCTCACACAGTACAAAGTGCTAGTAAGATTTTGGACATGGTATGCTGAAAAATTCCTCAATCAGCTTTTATCTTCTATATAAAACTGAGGACTGATATTCGAACAATAGGCATCTGGGTTGGAGTACACTATGTTTTCCTCATATGAATGACCTTGACCCGTTTTCAAATCTCATGGGTCAGATTTGATGTTTTTGGCTGGAAAGTCTTTGAGAAGTACGAAGATTTCTCATATAAATGACCTGGGTCTATTTTTAAAAGGCACAGGGATCAGATATGTACAGTAACATTTAAATATCTTGTTAAAAAGTTCAAGAAAACCAATATGCACTGGAATGGAGTGCTACAATGTTTTGGAATATCAATGAGCTTGATTTATGATCAAGCTCACAGGGGTTAAATTGGTGAAAAATTTCAGCTCCAAAAAAACCAAAAAGTGACCCTGAGCTGAGACATCTGTTGACATGTAAACATCTATTTTCACATAGCTGTTGTGTGTTGTAGGTGAGGACATGGCTTGTGTCAAAAAGAACATGGCACGCAAGACTCACAGCATTTGGTACGAGGCCCGACTTCTACAAGGAAACCCATCTTCTGAAGAAAAGGCTAAGAAAGTGTATGTCTATATATCTCCTAAGGTAAATATCCATCATATTAACTGAAGATAATGTTTATGTAAATTCTTTAATATCTTGAACTTTGCATATATATCTTAATAGTCAGTCTTATATTGAAATAACTACACTGAACTTCATACTTTCAATATGTACTTTATACAGGGAAATTTTTCACCTGCATTTTGTTTTTCACAATTTCATCCATGAACAGGGAGGGTGAATTTAAAATGGGGGCAAAAATTTGTTACACTTATGAGACCCTGTTGTATGAACACTGGGGGCAAAATAAACATGAGGCAGATTTGTTGTGTATTCCTCAAAGTTCAATTATTTACACAATACTTATCTCAGAAGGTCAAATCATTACAGATATCACAACACTGAATGTCAAACATATAACACTTCTGAAGGTATAAAGAATATTATCTCCAAAAGTACGACCACCATTTATCAAGGACAAGTGGTCAATAATACTTGCATACTATCAAAATGTCCTTAAAACAGAAATAATTCTGACATGAAGTTAGACATCTAGAGTGATCTCTTACGTAGATATTCTAAACAATAAATTTATATGGTTCTTATTGATTTGCCGAGCTTGCATAAGTGAAAAAGTCTAAATGATGATTTTTTCTTACTGTTTTTTAGATCTTAATGTACTAGGCTGATACCTGGTGATTTTGTTTCTGACTGTTTTTTAGATCTTAATGTACTAGGCTGATACCTGGTGATTTTATTTCTGACTGTTTTTTAGACCTTAATGTACTAGGCTGATACCTGGTGATTTTATTTCTGAATGTTTTTTAGATCTTAATGTACTAGGCTGATACCTGGTGATTTTATTTCTGACTGTTTTTTAGATCTTAATGTACTAGACTGATACCTGGTGATTTTTTTTCCAGCAACTAACATTAAAAGAGTATTACCTGAAAATAATTGGCAAGAAGCTGTTCACATGGCGAGTTTGTCCATCAACAAAGGTAAAACTTTATTACGAGATCTCAGATATGTTTTTATATACTGCTGAACTGTAATACTACCTATATCCAGGTTATGTACTGTTGTTATGGTAATCAAACATCGACTTGTTTGAATTTTTGGTGCGGCTTATAGATATACCTATTTGATAAAAATGCTATGGATATACATGTACCTTATGTGTTGGTTACTGTTACCTCAATAGGGATGCTTTGTTCTGTAATGTTTTTAGAAGGAATTTACAAAAGTTGGGGATGAATTGTGATTTGATTATTAATAAATATGTGTTTGTAGTTTTACTTCAGTGGCCACAATACTCGATATGACCTCCCAGTGATGACAATCTATGACTGCTGCCAGCCTCCAGTCATTCTAGCGACCAAAGAACGCAGTGTCATAGCAGCTACATTCACCAACTTCTTACTCAGGAATATTGGTAAATAGTTGTCTCCTTTCCCTTCTTCATTTGTTAGTGGAGTAACTACAGTGTCATATATGTTGATGAGGTCATTGGATCACTCTCTCCTAAAGAATATTTCAGCTGTTAAATTGCTATTTCTGATAATTGATGTATTTTGTAAGAATTTCTTGTCAAGAGCTGAAAAGCCAGATGAGCTAATTGTCCTGTAATTATAACTCACTTCTTCATTCAAGTGACTGTAACTCCTAACCTCTGTTTGACATTTTCATCCCTGCAGGTGGTTCTGAAACATTCCAAGATAAACATGCATATTTTGTCCAGGAAGTAAGAAAACTTCAGAAAAGAGGAAATGTCACGCTTAAGATAGACCGTTCCAACTTCTTGTATAGTGTAAGTATGGTGAGAACTGAACTTCCAGTTGAGAATGTTATGTTGTGAGGACAACTACCTGTATTCTGTAATGGTGTGAGAGGATAACATTTTGTATAATCATTTTGTGTAAATATAGGGAGAGAAGATGAGTTTAAGCCTTGATTATCTCCCTTTATATACACAGTACTATAGATGAGTTTAAGCCTTGAATATCTCCCTTTATATACAAAGTACTATAGATGAGTTTAAGCCTTGATTATCTCCCTTTATATACACAGTACTATAGATGAGTTTAAGCCTTGATTATCTCCCTTTATATACACAGTACTATAGATGAGTTTAAGCCTTGATTATCTCCCTTTATATAGATGAGTTTAAGCCTTGATTATCTCCCTTTATATACACAGTACTATATGAGTTTTAACATTATTTTGACCTGGTATATATTGTGTAACATTAATTTCAAATGTTATTTGATTGATAGATGTGTGTTTTTCAAATAATTAAGATTGTTTTTATAATTTTCTGTCTTCAGTCGTACAAAGCAACAAAAAACTTTGACACATCTGACTGGTACAAGACTTTTCACATTGTCTTTGTTGGGGAGCCAGGTAAGTGGATGTTCTGACACAAGAAAATAACATAAACATTATCAACACTACTTTTTATTGGTAATGTCGCAGTGTTGACACAGACTGTATCTTAATGTACTTGCTTTTTTATGTCACTAGGGTTAGACTGGGGTGGACTGAGGAGGGAGTGGTTTGAGATGCTTTGTACAGAGCTGTTTGATCCATCTCGATCAGGACTGTACACACGATTTACAGAAGATTCACAAGGTTTGGTTAGTATCACTCTTGTTTGATGTGATTGTCAGTCGACGGACTCAAAAGTCCTAGATGTTATATTTCATCTATTTTTATTCGCAATATGTCATGCCTGAATTTCAACTTTTTCGATGTCTTCTTCTGATGGAGATGTAGAGTTTCATTAACTGAGGCCTTTCTCTCTTTCTCTTTGCATGTTATTTCAGTAATAAGTTTGGTATTTCTATTGTGATAAGAACCTAATTGCTGGTAATATTAGCCTGTCACAATTTTTTGAGATATCCTTTAAAATGATTGTATTACAATTTAACAAATAAAAAATTCATGCTCTCTACCTGAGAAAGGCCTCTTATACACATGTGTTTGGTTATTTCACAGATTAAATTTTCAGAATCATTTAAATGAACTGCAAATTTTTCAATCAAATTATGCTGTAATCAAAATGTATCTTTCAAAAACCTCTGAATGAGAATATTTTAATTTTTACAATTGTAACCTGATCACTATTATTGTTTAAAGGGTTGTGAGTCATTATCCTTTTTGATTTTGTATTACTTGATAGAAGTGAAACATAGATCTGTTTGATTACCTTCTATGTTCATATCCCGGGTAGGTACAGTGTAGCTTGAAAAAGTGCGCTCTATATGCGAAAATTTACGGTATTTTGTTGATTCTCACTTTAGTCAATAGCCTTGGAGTCAAGGAAGGAGATAATTAAACTTGAATCACATTGGTTCAAAAATCCTGCAATGTTAGAGATATATGTAGTGATCTGAAACCTGCTCTCAGTTCTAGGTACAATCCAGTGTAATATTAACTTTGTAAATTACTTTAATGTTTTATTATCTCCCTTAGGTACATCCGACTCCTACCTGTCGCAGGAAACAGGAACTGAAGTTGAAGTACTATGAGTTCGCAGGGAAGGTAGTGGGCAAGTGTTTGTATGACTCAGCCCTGGGCAGTGCCTATAGACAATTAGTTAAGGCCAGATTCTCAAGGTCATTCCTCGCACAACTCATTGGCCTCCAGGTCAACTACAAGGTCAGTACATATGTAGAAGGATTTCTGTTATACAAAGTAGTGGTCAGCAATCTCATTTTCAAACAAGTAAAAGCATAGAGGTCATCAAATGGTTAATTTTTTTTTAAGAAAAACTAGATCTCAAATATATACTTGTGCTGTTTAGCTTGATGATCTGACTGAGGATGACATGTAATGTATTATCTGGTAATCATGAATATGGCTAGTACTTTTATGTTGATGAAGTAGTTTGTTCTTTTTGTTTTAGTACTTTGAGACAGATGATCCTGAGTTGTATAAAACGAAGGTTCAATTTATAGACGAGAATGATATAGATGACATGGAGCTGTCATTTTCTGAAGAGGAGTACTCTGATGGACAGCTCCAACGAGTAAGTCTTCTCTAAACCTTATTACAGTGGTTCTATGATGGACAGCTACAACGGGTAAGTCTTCACTAAATCTCATTAAAGGGGTTCTCTGATGGACAGCTACAATGGGTAAGTCTTCACTAAACCTCATAAAAGGGGTTCTTTGATGGACAGTTACAACCAGTAAGTCTTCTCTAAACCTCAGTTGAGGTGTTCTGTGATGGACAGTTACAACCAGTAAGTCTTCTCTAAACCTCAGTTAAGGTGTTCTGTGATGGACAGTTACAAGGGGTAAGTCTTCTCTAAACCTCAGTTAAGGTGTTCTGTGATGGACAGTTACAACGAGTAAGTCTTCTCTAAACCTCAGTTAAGGTGTTCTTTGATGGACAGTTACAACCAGTAAGTCTTCTCTAAACCTCAGTTGAGGTGTTCTGTGATGGACAGTTACAACCAGTAAGTCTTCTCTAAACCTCAGTTGAGGTGTTCTGTGATGGACAGTTACAACCAGTTAGTCTTCTCTAAACCTCAGTTGAGGTGTTCTGTGATGGACAGTTACAACCAGTACGTCTTCTCTAAACCTCAGTTGAGGTGTTCTGTGATGGACAGTTACAACCAGTAAGTCTTCTCTAAACCTCAGTTGAGGTGTTCTGTGATGGACAGTTACAACCAGTAAGTCTTCTCTAAACCTCAGTTAAGGTGTTCTGTGATGGACAGCTACAACAGGTAAGTCTTCACTAAATCTCATTAAAGGGGTTCTGTGATGGACAGTTACAATGGGTAAGTCTTCTCTAAACCTCACTTAAGGTGTTCTGTGATGGACAGTTACAACGAGTAAGTCTTCTCTAAACCTCAGTTGAGGTGTTCTGTGATGGACAGTTACAACCAGTAAGTCTTCTCTAAACCTCAGTTAAGGTGTTCTGTGATGGACAGCTACAACGGGTAAGTCTTCACTAAATCTCATTAAAGGGGTTCTGTGATGGACAGCTACAACGGGTAAGTCTTCACTAAACCTCATTAAAGGGGTTCTATGATGGGCAGCTATAACAGGTAAGTCTTAACAAAACCTCATTGAAGGGGTTCTCTGATGAACAGCTACAACAGCTAGTAAGTCTTCACGATAGAAATATTGTTATAATAGAGGTATTTCTGTGACAGGTGGTAGACCTTGTTCCTGGTGGCAGCAGTAAACCGGTGACCAATGAAAACAAGCAGCATTACCTGAACTGTCTGGCTCAGTATAAATTGTCCAGTAGCATGAAGGATGAGGCTGACCATTTCCTCAAAGGTCTTAACGTCCTCATCCCTGACACACTCCTCAGTATATTTGATGAGAATGAACTAGAGGTAAGTGATCAGTAACCCCTGTAATATAAAGTTGTAGGAGAATAGCTTAGCCTAGTCAGACATTTTGTTTTCCTAAACCTTATGAGATTATAATGAATAATGTCATTGACTGTGTCTGATGCGTACAATGTACATATTACTGTCAGTATGATTTATTGAAGGGTTTGTGTTTTGTTCAAGATTATTAAGAAATAATTTCACTATCAAACTCAGGTAAATTTAATAACTGCGAAGCTGTTTAATATGTAAAATTAGTCCAAGATTAATTAATAAATAAATTTCATTTCACAATGTGTGTTACATAACATTATGGGGAATCATGCATTCATGAACAATATCTTTCCTCATGCAATAGAGACAAATATTATCAATATTTTATGATAGAGGGATGTTATATAGAGTCCAATATAACAATCACTGAAGATATGTTACTTTGACTGTTACTATCCATATGTTGTATGTTACTATCAATGTTGATATTAGTGTAGCCATTGTTACTATCAATGTTACCATAAGTGTAGCCAATGTTACTATCAATGTTACCATTAATGAAGTCAATGTTACTATCAATGATATCATTAGAGTAGCCAATGTTACTATCAATGTTACCATTAGTGAAGCCAGTGTTACTATCAATGTTACCATTAGTGTAGCCAATGTTACTATCAGTGTTACCATTAGTGTAGCCAATGTTACTATCAGTGTTACCATGAGTGAAGCCAGTGTTACTATCAATGTTACCATTAGTGTAGCTAATGTTACTATCAGTGTTACCATTAGTGAAGCCATTGTTACTATCAGTGTTAAATAAATGTGGCCAATGTAACATTCAATGTTGCTATCAATGTGACTATCAGTGTAGCCAATGTTGCTATCAATTTTAGTATCAGTGTAGCCAATGTTACTATCTATTTTACTATCAATTTGATCAGTGTTACTATCAGTGTTTACGTCAATGTGGCCAATGTAACATTCAATGTTGTTATCAATGTGACTATCAGTGTAGCCAATGTTGCTATCAATGTGACTATCAGTGTAGCCAATGTTGCTATCAATGTGACTATTAGTGTAGCCAATGTTGCTATCAATGTGACTATCAGTGTAGCCAATGTTGCTATCAATTTTACTATCAGTGTTGCTATCAGTGTTTAGATTGTCCTTTTTACTTTGGCAGCTGCTGATGTGTGGTACAGGTAACTACAGTATAACAGACTTCAAAGCTCATGCTGTGATAGAGGGCTCATCCTACCATTTCTTCAAGGTAATTCAGTATGATGTCACTTTAAATAATAGGAGTAATAGAAAGATATACACAATAACTATGTAATGATACATGTGCTTTATGTTAAAGGGTTAATGCAAGAAGAGAATTGATAAGAAAATATAGAATTTAATTACACTGTGACCTACTTATAGTGGAATTGATTAACACATTAAAAAGATAGTTGACGTATATGATGTACCTGTTTGTAGATGGCATAAAGTGTTTTATATGTGTGTGGTTTTCAGGTTCTAGACTGGTTCTGGACTGTGATTGCAAGCTTTACAGAAGAACAAATGGCACGTCTGCTGCAGTTTACCACTGGCTGTTCTCAGCTTCCTCCTCAGGGCTTTGCTGAGCTTAATCCAAAATTTCAAATATCATTTTCACCTACCTACAACACCTTACCTACAGCACACACCTGGTAAGTATAGTAGACCTGTCAGTTATGTACCTGAAGTAATCTGTCAGGGAGATACATCTCAGATACACTAATTAGCATGATACACTTGTTTGCATGATACACCTTTCTGTTATGGGGAAACACCAGTCAGGACAATATACTTATCACAGAGACACACCTGTCAGGGAGATACGCCTTCATGCATGATTTACCTGTCAGCAAGATACATTAATCATTGTGTCACACCTGTGAGGTATACATGTGTCAGGAATACACATTTGTCAGGGACATACACCTGTCAGTGAGATACACCTGTCAGTGAGATACACCTATCAATGTGAAACACCTGTCCATGTGATACACCTGTCAGTGAGATACACCTATCAATGTGAAACACCTGTCAGTTAGATACACCTATCAATGTGACACACCTGTCAGTGAGATACACCTATCAATGTGAAACACCTGTCAGTGAGATACACCTATCAATGTGAAACACCTGTCCATGTGATACACCTGTCAGTGTGATACACCTGTCAGTGAGATACACCTATCAATGTGAAACACCTGTCAGTGAGATACACCTATCAATGTGAAACACCTGTCAGTGAGATACACCTATCAATGTGAAACACCTGTCCATGAGATACACCTATCAATGTGATACACCTGTCAGTGAGATACACCTATCAATGTTAAACACCTGTTAGTGAGATACACCTATCAATGTGATACACCTGTCAGTGAGATACACCTATCAATGTTAAACACCTGTTAATGAGATACACCTATCAATGTGAAACACCTGTCCATGTGATACACCTGTCAGTGAGATACACCTATCAATGTGAAACACCTGTCAGTGAGATACACCTATCAATGTTAAACACCTGTTAGTGAGATACACCTATCAATGTGATACACCTGTCAGTGAGATACACCTATCAATGTTAAACACCTGTTAGTGAGATACACCTATCAATGTGATACACCTGTCAGTGAGATACACCTATCAATGTGAAACACCTGTCAGTGAGATACACCTATCAATGTGAAACACCTGTCAGTGAGATACACCTATCAATGTGAAACACCAGTTAGTGAGATACACCTATCAATGTGAAACACCTGTCAGTGAGATACACCTATCAATGTGAAACACCTGTCGGTGAGATACACCTATCAATGTGAAACACCTGTCAGTGAGATACACCTATCAATGTGAAACACCTGTTAGTGTGATACACCTGTGATACATTTCTCACTAAAATTCACCTAACGATATTAATGTGATACACCTGTTGTATCTTATATCCTTTTTCATGTCACATACAGATAATTTTGGAATTGTGGAAATTTCTCCACCACCATACACATGTATGGTTATGGTTGTATGGTCAGATGTTTGTCCGTCAAGATATATTCAGTTAATACCTCAGAGGGTATGTCTTAAATACTGACAAAATGTTTTTCATCTCCTCGCAGGATTTGATGTATACTGTCTATCATTCAATTGATATATCTTTTAATAGATTGCCAATATTTGCACTGATGCTGTAATTAATGAATGCAGGATTTAAGTCATAGACACAAATATCAGAGTCTTTGTAATGCTATTGTAAAGGATAATATCATTATAAGCTTGATAAAGAGGTTAGATGATATTGTACAGTACCAAACATACTAATAAACACAATTTTTGAAATGTCTTAAGGCTGTCCTAGAATGTTTAAGTGAAAATCTTTAATTGAAATAACTTTTTTTGTAGCTTTAACCAGCTGTGTTTGCCAGACTATGATTCTATAGACAGTTTCCACAGATCTCTGTTAATAGCCATCAATGAGGGGGCCCAGGGCTTCGGACTTGTGTGATAATATGTTCTTTAATGACTGGGGTCTACAGTACAGTAGACACAACATCACAGCTACTTAAGGACAGGAGCAAAGAAACTTGGAGTAACCACAACAAAGTATAGATACTTTGTAAGCACAACAATGCAAGATTGAGGATTATTGATCCTTTAGAAAGTTTGATTCAACAAAATTCCTTTTTACTTTGTTATTAAGTTATTATAGAATTAAGTTATATAACAGTGTTTCCTTCTGAGAAGATGTTCTGTTACTCCACCCAAGTTTGTTAACTATTACAGCAGAAGGTGGCAGTAACAAGTGTGGTAACTGTTACAGCAGGAGATTGCTGTAACAAGTGTGGTAACTGTTACAGCAGGAGATTGCTGTAACAAGTGTGGTAACTGTTACAGCAGGAGGTGGCAGTAACAAGTGTGGTAACTGTTACAGCAGGAGATTGCTGTAACAAGTGTGGTAACTGTTACAGCAGGAGATTGCTGTAACAAGTGTGGTAACTGTTACAGCAGGAGGTGGCAGTAACAAGTGTGGTAACTGTTACAGCAGGAGGTGGTAGTAACAAGTGTGGTAACTGTTACAGCGGGAGATTGCTGTAACAAGTTTGGTAACTGTTACAGCAGGAGGTGGCAGTAACAAGTGTGGTAACTGTTACAGCAGGAGATTGCTGTAACAAGTGTGGTAACTGTTACAGCAGGAGGTGGCAGTAACAAGTGTGGTAACTGTTACAGCAGGAGGTGGTAGTAACAAGTGTGGTAACTGTTACAGCAGGAGGTGGCAGTAACAAGTGTGGTAACTGTTACAGCAGGAGATTGCTGTAACAAGTGTGGTAACTGTTACAGCAGGAGATTGCTGTAACAAGTGTGGTAACTGTTACAGCAGGAGGTGGCAGTAACAAGTGTGGTAACCTTTATAGCTAGAGATGGCTGTTACAAATGTACACTGGTACAGCAGGGAGTGGCTGTAACAAATGTTCACTGCTACAGCAGGAAGTGGCTGTAACAAATGTGGGAACTATAACATCAGGAAGTGGCAATTACAATTGTGTTAACTGTTACAGCAGGTTGTGGCAGTAACAAATGTTCACTGTTACAGCAGGAGGTAGTAGTAACAATTGAGGTAACTGATACAGCAGGAGGTGGTAGTAACAAATGTGGTAACTGTTACAGCAGGAGTTGGTAGTAACATGTGTGGTAACTGTTACAACAGGAGGAGGTAGTAACAAGTGTGGTAACTGTTACAGCAGGTTGTGGCAGTAACAAGTGTGGTAACTGTTACAGCAGGAGGTGGCAGTAACAAGTGTGGTAACTGTTACAGCAGGTTGTGGCAGTAACAAGTGTGATAACTGTTACAGCAGGAGGTGGCAGTAACGAATGTTCACTGTAACAGCAGGAAGTGGCTGTAACAAATGTGGGAACTATAACATCAGGAAGTGGCAATTACAATTGTGTTAACTGTTACAGCAGGAGGTGGTAGTAACAAGTGTGGTAACTGTTACAGCAGTAGGTGGCATTAACGAGTGTGGTAACTGTTACAGCAGGAGATGGTAGTAACAAGTGTGATAACTGTTACAGCAGGTTGTGGCAGTAACAAGTGTGGTAACTGTTACAGCAGGAGGTGGTAGTAACAAATGTGGTAACTGTTACAGCAGGTTGTGGCAGTAACAAGTGTGGTAACTGTTACAGCAGGAGGTGGTAGTAACAAATGTGGTAACTGTTACAGCAGGTTGTAGCAGTAACAAGTGTGGTAACTGTTACAGCAGGAGGTGGTAGTAACAAATGTGGTAACTGTTACAGCAGGAGGTGTTAGTAACAAGTGTGGTAACTGTTACAGCAGGTTGTGGCAGTTACAAGTGTGGTAACTAGTGTGGTCACTGTTACAGCAGGTTGTGGCAGTTACAAGTGTGGTAACTAGTGTGGTCACTGTTACAGCAGGTTGTGGCTGTAACAAGTGTGCTAACTGTTACAGCAGGTGAAGGCCTTTACGTATGTGGTAACTGTAGTAACCTGATATACAATAGATTTGTATGATTGGCTGTGATGTGGTTATATTTTGTCTTGTTGATTGAAGCAAGAAGGATAACTCTGGTAGCAGGTTGCTTTTATGTTCGAGAAAGGGATGGTTGATTAAGAGCATAGTTCTGAGTTTCATATCCTATATGAAATACTGTTTTAGAGGAAGGAAACTATGGTTTATATATTGTCACATTGGTCTACAGATCAGAAATCAGAAAAGTTCATGGTGACCTCAATTCATTTAAAGCTACATGATGTTTTCAAATAAATGGCCTTGTAGACATTCAAGATTACAGCTGTCTATATATAATTGCATAGGACTCGTGCTAAAGGACCACAGTGCAATTTAATTTGATGTTATCTTACTTGTTTTGGTCAATTTGTATTAAAGAAATATTAACAGGATTTAATGCTTTCATCCTGATTATTGATTTTGAAGTATTTGGATGAATATTTCATGAGCTAAACAGGCTGATGGGTCTTGTGTTATTATCATTGTGATGCTCTTCCTTTGTAGATATATAAACACAAGTATCACTCGGGTAAGCAGGGATATGGTAACGGGGAGAAATGGCAGGCTGCTGTCTCACAGAGTTTTATTTTCCTTTGAAAGTCATACTTCAGTTGCAGAGAGATTCTTACTTATATGCATTAATTTAGAGTGCTTACTAGACATGTTGATAATGGACCAGTTATGATACATCGAGTGGTTTTCCTCTACCGGTCATCTCCTGTATCATGTGTCCATTATTGATCATTGACACATTCCTCACTCCAGGGAAATCAATGTCTGTGGTAGTATTATTGACATACATATATTTATGACTTATTTTGCACAACTGTGATATTGCTGTTTGTGATTAAGTTCAAATCAAAATGTAAACTTTGGTATATGTGTGAATTGCACTTTTCATTGAACTTGACTTTTCTGAAATTTTTAGCTCATCTGACCCTAAGGGCCAAGTGAATTTATGTTATGGCATAGAGTCCGCCTGGCATTAACTTTTTTCTAATGAAAAGACTTAAAATAATTACATTCACCCACAAAAATCCTTAGATGGAGCTAGAAAGTTGGCAAAGAAACTACTTTGTCCCTTATCCAAGGTCACAGGGGTCAAACTTGTTATAGCTTTCATTAATTTCTTCTGATTACCTGAAATGTCTAAAGTCATATTTTGCTGGTAGGTTTCTGAAATGAAGCCCAACAAATTTTGCAAAAGGAAATGACCTTGATCATATTGAAGACAACAAGGGTCAATTTTATTTTATGTGAATACAATTAACATTAAATGTTGAGATATTTGTGAAATGCTTTGAATACCAGGTGAGGGATGCTGGCCCATTTGGCCTCTTGTTTTTTGTACTTAAAACAGGTTTTAATAACTGTCCAACTGGAGAATACTATTATGATAACTATTAATTGTGCATTGTAACTGATTTTTTACTGCCCATTAGCAGTGCACCATTTAAGTGACTTTTTAATCCCACCAGTGTTGTCTGTGTCTCTGTGTTTATCGATTAATGTACTTAATTTGCTTTGTACTTTTTTTTACATGTAATGCTAACAAGCTTTGTGCTTAGGTAGGACAGACAGATGTATAGTATATGTAGGACATACAGATGTGCAGTATAGGTAGGACAGACAGATGTACAGTATAGGTAGGACAGACAGATGTACAATATATGTAGGACAGACTGGTGTACAGTATAGGTAGGACAGACAGATGTACTGTAAAGGTAGGACAGACAGATGTACAGTATAGGTAGGACAGACAGATGTACAGTATATGTTGGACAGACAGATGTACAGTATATGTAGGACAGACAGATGTACAGTATAGGAAGGACAGACAGATGTACTGTAAAGGTAGGACAGATAGATGTGCAGTATATGTAGGACAGACAGATGTACTGTAAAGGTAGGACAGACAGATGTAAAGTATAGGTAGGGCAGACAGATGTACAGTATAGGTAGGGCAGACACATGTACATTATAGGTAGGATAAACGGATGTACAGTACATATTGGACAGACAGATGTGCAGTATAGGTAGGACAGACAAATGTGCAGTATAGGTAGGACAGACAGATGTACAGTATAGGTAGGACAGACAGATGTACAGTATATGTAGGACAGACAAGTACAATGTCTAGGAAGAGCAGACAGCTATATTGTATATGTAGAACAGACAAATGTTCTCTATAGGTAGGACAGACAAACATACCATTTAGGTAGGACAAACAGATATGCTGTATAGGTAGGATAGACACAGCTACAGTAGACATAGGATAAACTGTTGTAATGTACAGGTAGGACAGACAGACATATTGTTTTTGTAGAGCAGACAGCTGTATTGTATATGTAGGACAGACAGATGTACTGTTTTGGTGGAGCAGAGAGGTGTACAGTATAGGTAGGACAGACAGATGTACAGTATATGTAGAACAGTCAGATGTACAGTATATGTAGGACAAACAGATGTACAGTATAGGTAGGACAGACAGATGTACAGTATATGTTGGACAGACAGATGTATAGTATATGTAGGACAGACAGATGTGCAGTATAGGTAGGACAGACATATGTACAGTATAGATAGGACAGACAGATGTACATTATAGGTAGGATAAACAGATGTACAGTATATGTTGGACAGACAGATGTATAGTACATGTAGGACAGACATATGTACAGTATAGGTAAGACAGACAGATGTACAGTAAAGGTAGGACAGACAGATGTACAGTATATGTAGGACAGACAGATGTACTGTTTAGGTAGAAGAGACAGATATACTATGTTGGTACAATAGACATATGCACTTATTTTGGTAGGACAGACAGATGTATTGTATAGGTAGGACAGACAGGTATACAGTATATGTAGGACAGACAGATGTACTGTTTAGGTAGAAGAGACAGATATACTATGTTGGTACAATAGACATATGCACTTATTTTGGTAGGACAGACAGATGTATTGTATAGGTAGGACAGACAGATGTATTGTATAGGTAGGACAGACAGATGTATTGTATAGGTAGGACAGACAGGTATACTGTATAGGGAGGACAGAGAGATGTATTGTATAGGTAGGACAGACAGATGTATTGTATAGGTAGGACA